CACACGAGGCTCATGGCGGCTCTTCACGCTATTCGCGAGCCAGGGTGCCCAAGGTTGTTAGACCTGGTCTCGGTGTCCGCTGTCTGGAGGTCACATCAGCTCACAAGGTGAAAGCGAAAGACCACTAGTTCCAGTCGTAGTGGAACCGACCGATCGGCCCTAATTCTTCAAACCACGTACCTTTTGCTTTATTAACAAGAGTGGATGAACCCTTGGAGAGGGTTCCTTCAATCTTGGTAATAAAGCGTCGTAAAGCTCGTATCGTTAGTTGGGAAAGCTACCCCCTGCCCACAACGGAGGAACGTTTGCGAAACTGGTGGGCTGTGCCGAGTTATCGAAGCTTGATTTAGACCAAGCGCACCTGAAGGTGACTGCCGATAGCGATACAGTTAACCTTCTCATCATCACCACACACCCCGCACTTTTTCGAGTCATGCGCCTGCCGCTCGGAGTAGCTGTTGCCGTCGCTATTTTTCAAAGATAAATGGAACAACTGCTGCAAGGACTGCAAGGGGTGCAAGTTTCAAACCCGTCTTCAAGCAGTGTTTCAACGAATTAAAGAGGACATGTCCGGCTGAAACGTGATAAGTGTACTTTTGGATCGGATGAAGTCGTATTCCTGGGTTATAAAGTCAGCAAGGCACGAATACATCCGACGGATGACAAAGTCAAGGCTATTCATGTAGCACCAAAGCCGAAGTGTAAGAAGGAGTTACAAGCGTTCCTAAAAGAACTTAACTTGTACGACAGGTTCCTGATGTGAGTGGCACAGACTTTGGACCCCTTTCACGGGTTGCGGGATGACGGCCAGAAGTGGAAATTGAAAATGCGGGAAGCAGAAGCTTTCCAGCGGGCCAAAAAGTTACTGAAGTCTGCGAACATCCTTGGGCACTACAGTGTTAACGAGCCACTAGTTATGGCCTGTGATGCCTCTCCGTATGGACTTCGGGTGGTGCTGAGCCATGTCGACAGCGAAGACCGAGAGGTTCCGCTAGCCTATGGATCTCGAATAATGACACCTGCGGAACGAAGCTACGCACAGACAGACCATTAAGCCTTGGCAATAAGTTTTGGAATAACGGAAGTTCCCCAAGGGCTCGTGTATGGCCGACATTTTCGGATTGCGAAAGATCACAAACCTCTACTGAGACTCTTGCATCAAACAGAACCAATGCCTCAGGTCCTGTCACCGAGGATGTTGCGTTGGTCGTTAATGCTGTCTGCCTACGACTGCCAGCTGGATTACAGGCCTGCTCATCAGCTGAGGAACGCGGATGCACTGAGTCGACTGCCTTTAACGGAGAAGGAGAGCCCACCTGACACGAGACGTTGTGAAGTCCGGATGCTGGACACTGCTCCGGAAATTCCTTGGGATGCCCAAGAGATTGCACGATGCACCCGCAACGACCCAATCTTGGCCAGAGTTCAACATTGGACAGTAGTCGGATGGCCTCAAAAAAAACCAAAAAAACTGCCGGACCAGTTCAAGCCAAGTTCGACGCCAGCATGAGTTGTCATAGTGTCGGGGTTGCCTAATTTGGGGAAGTAGAGTTATCTTTCCGTGTCAAGCCACAGACCAGGTGATGGAGTTGTTACATACCATGCACCCCGGGACAGTCTGGATGAAGGCACTGGTTAGAAGCACAGTTGGGAGGCCAGGCACCGGTCAAGATATCGAAAGGAAGGTCCGAGCCCTGCTACCCTGCCAGGAGACTATGCCGGAACCTGCACTGCGCAAGGCTGCATCCGAGGGACGTTGCCAGAAATCCTTGATCCCGGATCCATATAGATTTTGCAGGGCCATTCCAAGTGGAAATTTCCCTTCTGGTGGTGGGCTCACACACGAAAAGGCTTGAAGTTATCCCGATGGCATCCATGTCGTCAGCAACAGCTGGCGAAAAGCTTCGAGCGTTGTTTGCAACAGATGGTGTTCCGGACACTATAGTCACCGACAATGGAACGGCGTTCGTCTCGCGAGAATTCGAAGAATTCACGCTGAGGAACCGAATCCGGCACGTCAAGGTTGCGCCGTATCCTCCATCATCTAACGATCAAGTAGAGCGTGTGGTTCAAGAGACAAAGCAGGTCCTCAGGCGCATGGGAAGAGGTAACATGGCCACCAAGCTGGCCCGTTTAATTTTGAGCCAACATATTCTGTCGCACACTACGACAGGAAAGATTCCTGCAGAATTGCTAATAGGTCGAAGACTTCGTATAGCACTGGAACGGCTTCACCCAAACCTATAAACAGAGATAGTAGACAAGCAAGAAAAACAAGCACTGCGGGGAAGACAAGGTGTACGCGAATTTGAACCGCAAGAAACGGTCGTCATCCACAATTATCCAGCGGGCCCCAAGTGGCTATTCGGTGTCGTCACTGAGATCACGGGTCCGGTGCCGTACAAAGTTCTCACCCTGGACGGTCGTTTTTGTAAGCGACACGTAGAACAAATCCAGAGTCGGGAGAGGAGCACGTGTCTGAAGGAGGAGCGGGTGACAGAGCTGCAAAAACAACAGCAGCGTCTCAGTCATGCGAGCCACGAGTTTTGGATGAGCCAGTGCAAGAACGTCCTCTCTCCACGAGTAAGGCGAACGTTTCCGCGCGGCCAACAACTCCAGAGGAAACACCAGTGACAGCACCCTCCCCGCAACTTCCGCTTCCTTCAGAACCAAGGCGCCAAACAGTGTCGCCAACCTCAGCGCCCGTGCAAGAACGGTCCAGCCGTTTCCAGCGACAATGGCAACGTCCTAACTACCTTATGGACTACCTAACCTAAGGGGGAGGGATGTTATGTGCTGGCAATTGTAAAGACTGCCACGAAGCGCGGCACGCGCACGCGCTCGCGCTCGGGCTCTTAAACGGACTCTCGCCTAATCCAGCCCAGTCACGTCGACCATGGACCGCTACGCTTGCAATGTTCATAATGTATATAAAGTCGAAATATATAACATACTTGCGGCAGAAATGTTGGATGAAACAATTTGTTTCACTTGTCTCAGTTGCCCTCCCAACGAACAGTTTGCGGATCGCAACTACAAGAGGCACTTTCTCCTCATTGCAACATAGTTGAAGTGTTCCGACCCCACAAATCTTACCCACACCAAAGCAGAGTGAAGGGAATCATTGACCGCAGTGAAAATATCTTACTCACAAAAGCTTTAAAAAAAAGTTACGAAAATAAACGCAAATAACGTGCGATTTCACGGCCCACAGTGCAACTATTATGTAAGTATCCGGGGTGGAATTACTTGTTTTGTTGAATTTCCTCGCTGGTGAACCGATACATCTATTTTAAGAGACACAAATATTTCACATCAATAGCGCAGTTCATTCGGAAATAGACGTCCGTTCTGGTGTTCATGCCTCATAACTTCTGCCTAAAGCAGAAGACGGATAAACACAAAGGGATATTGGCATTTAAGCGGTACGCTTGTAACAGGATTCGTTCTTTAATTAGGCACCGAACAGTACCGCTCCATCTTCCGCTAAAAAATTTTTTCTCACCGATATTAGCGAGTTTTAGTAGGCCGTGTTTCCCCCTCTGCTAAGCCCCTCCGCTGCCCGCAACTCTACAGCCAAGGCCATCGGCACGCAGGCGCAGTGGCGGTTTCTTCGAAGCGGAGGTTCAGCGGAGGGGGAAACACGGTCTACTGAAACTTTCTATTATCCCGCAAAATAAACGCAAGAATCTATACCGTCTCGCGCGCGAATGTCGAAAGCCCATCGGGCGTTCATGGTACACGAAAATCAATAGTGCGCAAAAATAGACAAGGACGAAGTGAAGATGCGAACTACACAACCTCCGATGATCATGATAGTGCGCCCACTAGGTCGATCTCATGGCCAATAATACATGGAATGCAGAATGTACAGGTAACAAACGTAACGGCCAGCACATGTGGAATGCCTTGTAAAATTCGTGTTCCAAACGTACAAACCTAAAATTTGGCGCCTAAGCGCCGTTTCACCAGAAGTATTATGTATATTTTCTTAGATTAACTCAGCCACCAACCGGAAAGAAGCTTGCAAACCTGTGTTCAGACGCTCTGCACGGGCGCCGCAAGAACCGACCGTCTGTTTTTGTCTCCTCTTGTTTCTTATGACTCTGCTTTATCATTTCCACAGCGGGACAAGTTATTGAGGCTCTGGATTCGACTGCGTCCATCTCCCCAGCATGGGTTTTGTGGAGGCTCGTCAAATCCCACTTCAGTGGCCGCGTTTACATGAATGCGACTACGGCGCATCGACTCCAAGCGTCATTGGACTAAAGACGACGCGCCCCCGTTTACATGGATGCGCATGAAGTCCTGCGCGAAGCTAGCGCCACGCCGTGTCACATCTGAAAATGAACGCTGCAGTTTCGGGATTTCCGGCATTCGCTGCGCCATGTGACTGGTACGTTTCCGGTGTTTGGCGTCGGACGGGGAAAGATGGCGGCCGTCTGGGTGTGCGTGATTGTTTCCAACCGCTCGTTGAAAACCGCCTCGTCTCGCAAACCGTGCCCGTACCCCGAGGTAGAGGTGCTCCAGTGCAGAAAGGAATAAAAAAAGCTCGACACCGCGGAACGAATCGCGCCTATTTCGGGAACCCCTTCGAGATACGCAAGTAAAAATCCACAAGGCCAAGACGGGCGCCGCCCTCAACGACGATTTGTTGGCCGAAGTGCACGCCAACACCTTGAAGAAGCGCCACAACTGGCCACCGAATGACAGTGAACAGGAGGAGCCGCCTTCGGACCCCACCCCGGCGAAGGTGACGTGCGATATGTGCGCCACCGGGGCCCGCCCCACGGTCCAACATCTCGCGCGACTGGCCCGGTGTCGAACCCTGAAGAGCCGGCATGGACCACCCCACGGGCATGGACCACCCCACGGACTGAAGCGCGCCGAACATGAAGCCGGCGTAACCGTTGTGATGAACCTTCCCCAACCTTTCCCCTTCTCCTGCACCAACATTGCTTAATAAATGCATTCTGTCTCTGCATTTGTCTCGTGTAGACATGAACGCGAGTTTCCGTTTGCACGTGTTGCTGCTTTTGTCGGCGTGGAGTAATATCCACTTACTCTTCTTCGCTGCGGCACTCGTGCAGTATCAGCAGCGTTGCCGTCAAATACGGTCGGCTTACAGTCAAACGCTGCGCCACAATTTCGCTGCAATTGCAAGTTCTCCCAACGAATGGACGCTCATGCAAGGTGATACCATCTGAATGAAGTCTTTAGTAACAAAAAAAGTTGTTCTTAAGCCCTGGGCGCGCTCCTATAAGCTGAAGCTTATAACTAGGATGTATATTTTTCTGTGTTTATAAGAAAAATCGGCAGGTGTTCTCTTGAATGGGCAGATATTAATTGCAACAAAACAATCATTCCAGCATAACTCAGATTTGCAACATGTATGTGCATTTCTCCAACAGGTGCTTCAGCAGCAAACGAACGACGCAGGAAGAAGCTGTGGATGAAGACTCGATCGAACGACAGGTGGATCCGGATAGTTTTAACCCAGTTCACCGACGACGACTGGAAGGAAAACTTCCGAATGACTCGAACATCCTTCAACGAACTGGTGTCACATGTCGCATCTTTTATGTCTCCTGAGCCGGACTGCGTGAGAGCACCCGTGCCCTTAGAAAAAAGAGTGGCTGTAGCTCTCTACAAAATGGCTAGCTGTCGTGAATACCGGGTTGTAGGAAATCAGTTCGGTGTTCACAAGAGCACCGTGAAGAGATGCGTCTACATGTTCTGCCGCACCATCGTGAAGTATTACCTGCGGCAATACATACAACTACCATCGACAGAAGAGGCAGAAAACATTTCACGAACTTTTGAAGCGAGGTGCCACCTTCCACAAATTTTTGGAGCCATTGATGGCACTCATATTCCAATCCTGGCACCCAAGAAAGGATATCAGATTTCGTCAACAGAAAGCTGAGGACTTCCTTCAACGTTCAAGCTATAGTGGATGATCGTGGCCAATAACCCGAAGGAAGAATCCATCAATGTAACCCTGTTTGGCAGTCAATGTTTTCTAGTGGACCGCTGACTGTGCCTGACTGTACGTCAAGCATGTCTGATTGGCCAGCAAGTTACTCTTACCGACAGTCAAACTCCACTCAGACCCCGCTTGTCGGCTTTCTGATGGTTTCCTGGTGGCAGTCGGCCGCCGCGCAATGCCATCAGGATGTCTTGGTGGTGATTCTGACTGCACATCGATTGTCTCTGACTGTACGTCAGAAAGCTTTGACGTGCAGACAGACGTACGGTCAAAGGACGTAAAGTTCGTTCGGATACCACTATTTCGTCAAATCTATGAATACGAAAAGTAATCTATGCACGAGAAAACGATTTTGGGATGTGAGCCCATAAAACCGCTGACGTTAGAGATATGACACGCAACCGACCGACAACCTTGATCAGAAGCCCGCCGAAGCGCCGAACACGACACTTCGCACTTCGCTTCGCCCATAGAGGCTTCGCCGAGCTTTCGTGAACGATCGCTCTCGACTCGTTTTGTTTGCCCGCTTGCTCCAACCTGTCGATCCTGCCCGGGCTCTACAATGTCTTATGTTTTAGTAGAATTTCTACTCGACAAGACCCAGCCTGTTGTGAGTTCCGACGATGTAAGGGACTTTAGTGGTGTAGTTGAAGACGACAGGGTGTACCAGGTCTACTGGGCCGGTGATGCGCGAACAAAAGGATCGTTCTACAACGCGAAAGTACTCTACATGGCAGGTGAGTAGAACCGAAGTACGGCGAGTGATGTACGAGTGCTTTGCATAACATGCCGACGGCTTAACTGCATTTGCAGCCAAAGCATTCCGTATAAAACGAATAGTCAAATCGAGTTTCTCTAACGGTGGCGTAGCATAGGGAGTTCGAAGAAGACGACGAGCTGAATGGCCGCGTTGGAAATGGGCTCCGTAAAGGAAATCTCAACGGCTAAGCCTAGCCGGGAATATTCTGAAACTAATTCTGCTTCTGCCCCCTCTGCACCAAGTACAACGGAATACAAGATTTTACAGCCACCCCTTCCCAACGGTAAGCTGCTTGAAAATTCACTGATTCTTCATGGGGACCCATCAGCCCGGCCATACCGCATTGACGATTTCGGTCCTGCTTTGAAGAAAATCATCAACCCAAATGAGCTAGCTTCGCTTGGGGCCTTCCAATACAATCATGTGTGGCTACTCACAGTGCGTTCTGCCAAGGAAAAAGAAAGACTGCTGCAGCTCCGAGAGATCCATGTAAAGAACAAGACATGTTTGATAATAGACGGGAGCAAGACTGCGCTGTCCATGAAGGTGCACTGGGTTCCAACAACCGTTCCAGATGCAAACGTGGCCAGCGCTTTCTCTACGTTTGGAAAAATAAAAAGCATCGTTCGAGACAAGTGGCACTACTCCGGCTTCGAGGATGTGGAGACGACCACAAGAATACTATCAATTGAATTGAACGAAGGTGTGACTGCGGACAGCTTGCCGCATCAGCTCAGGATTTTAGGAACAACCGTCCTTGTCTCCGTGCCTGGCAGAGCACCGCAATGTCTGCGATGCAGGCAAGTCGGACACGTCCGAGGCCAGTGCCGTGCTCCCTGGTGTAGCGCATGTCGAAAATTCGGCCATGATCTCGAAGACTGTGTCCCAACGTACGCCAACCGAACGACTGCATCTCTCCAGATTCCTGCAGACTACTTGATAAACGCAGAAGAAACAGCACAAACAGAGGTTTCGGCAGAAGTCAGCACCGCTCACAGGACAGCCTACGCCGAGGCAGCCTCACGGACTGAGAAGTGCGTAGACAGGTCGGCGTCGTCATGCTCTGCAACGAAGGAGACAGTGAGCAATATTGTCATCACCAACTCGTTCAGTGCTCTCGTTCCTGAAGACCAAGCTGATGAGTCAATGCAACCAGAGGAAGAGGCATCCGAAATGGACGAAACCAGCGACAAAGAAATGCTCGGGAAAAGAAAGGGAGACGAAATTCTGTGCACCGTAGATCCTGGCTCAACATCTCAATGGGAGCGGGCAGAGTCAAAGAGGAGAAGGAAGAGGAGAACAAAATCTCTATCTCCCAAATCTCCCATCACCGAGCAGGATTCCATCCTGTCCGGCCACGAGGACCCGAAGAGTCAGTAAGAGACGCTTCACTTTGCTCCATCACCTAATACGTTCAATGAACGACGATCCTTATGGTGCTTTTACAATCGGGACTTTTCACGTAGCCAGCCTTATAAGTCAACGCCGTAAAGTATGGCTAAAAGAGATTCTTTATCAACACAAAATTGATATAATATGTCTACAGGAAACCAAAATCTCAACTAGAGAGCAAGAAATTGATCTTGTCACCTACTTCCAGGATACATATTATTGTTATCACGCTCCATCCTCTGGCCTAAGTGCTGGGACCGCTATCTTTCTGCGAAAAGCCTCACGTCACTGCAGTTCTGTTGACTGTGAGCTAGCAGCAGATGGTCGCACAGCTGCCATAGATGTTTTGGTTGGCGAAGAATTAGTCAGAATAGTTTCCATCTACGCACCAAACAACTCTTCGGATCGTTTAACGTTTTTCAAAAGCTTACGTTTAATTTTAGACACCCCAAGTAAAGTTATCTTAGCGGGTGACTTCAATTGCGTACTGTCGCGGAACGATTGCACAACTTCTGGATGGAAAAGTGATAGAAGCATAGTGGAGTTGAAAAACATTCTTCATGACTTCGACCTCAAGGACGCGACAGAAGACATAAAATGTTTTGATCCCAAATTCACTCATTGGCAAGGTGCTTCTCATGCGCGGCTTGATAGAATTTACATCTCAGGTGAAATCCCCAGTGACAAGATTCAATATACTGCGAATCCCACTCACCTCTCAGACCATGCGCTAGTGTCCATCTCGTTTAAAAGACAGACAGATCGCTCCACACGTAGTTCAGGAAGTGAATCTTGGAAGATGAACAATACAATATTGGAAGATGAAGTATTTCGCGAACAAATTCGTAAGGAGCTAACCGTTCTAGCCGAAAGTGAGCCGATCGACGCTTGCAAATGGGAAGCGTTCAAATCTTATGTGAAAGTGCAAGCGGTCATCCGAAGCTCTGCAGAGAGTGCACGAAAAAAGGCCAAAGAACTAGCTCTCGTAAATGCTTTACGATCCCTCGTCACTGAAGAAGAACGACGCCCAGGCGTATTTATTGAAGATATTAAGAACATAAAAAAACAATTGCAACAGCTTATTGAACAGCAACACTGGGGAGCGCTTATTCGAAGTCGAGAGCTGACACTAGAACACGAGGAACAGCCATCTAAAGTTTTTCACACATTCGCATCATAAAGATTCAATAGCCTCTACACAATCAGATATATGCGCTGCGTTTGAAAGCTTTTATGGAGACCTCTTTGCAAGGACGGAAACCTTGTCGGACATTCCAGAGAAGGTGCTCTCCTTACTCCCTAAGGTTCCAGAAGAAGCGAGAGAAATAATAAACTCTCCCATAACACCGAGAGAGATACAGCGAGTGATAAAAGAGCTCCCTACAAACAAGAGTCCTGGTCCTGATGGCAGTGGTGCTGAATTTTATAAAACATTTGCGGATATTGTTGGCGCTTCTCTCGTGCACGTATTTGAAGACATCAGGAAACGAGAGCTCCTGCCACCGTCAATGAGGAAAAGTCACGTAGTATTAATACCCAACAAAGCCCCTGATGAGGGAGCACCAGACGTATCCGATTTTCGCCCCATCAGCTTACTTTGTACGGATTATAAAATTCTTACAGGAATACTGGCACGACGACTCGAGATAGGACTTCGACATATCGTTGGAGACCACCAGAGCTACGGCTTCAAAGGTCGTTCCATCAGACACAACCTTCACCGGATGCGCATCATGTGCGAAGCTGCTGAACAAGGTTATGCACACCTAGCTGCGCTTCAGCTAGACCTAAGTAAAGCATTCGACAGAGTCGACCGGAAGTTTCTATTTTCCCTTATACGACACTGTGAACTGGGAGATTACATTGAGAAATGGATTTCGATAATTTACACGGACATCACAATGAAACTCGTCATCAATGGGAATGTAGGAACCCCTATTTTTGTGCGCAGATCAGTACGGCAGGGCTGCCCGCTTTCGCCCCTTCTGTTTTCTTTATATTTAGAACCACTCTGCCGCACTGTACTTCACAATACTTCGATCGCTGGATTCCAATTTTCCGATCACGTCCTCAAGTTTCTGGCATATGCCGATGACATTACCTTTGTATGTTCATCCAAGAAAGAAGTGCAGATTGCTCTTGAGCTTGTAGAGAGCTATAGCAAATACTCCGGTTCCTCTTTGAATCGGAAAAAGTCTTGCGGTGCCTGGCTCGGAGACTGGGAAACCAAACCTTCTAAGTTTATGGGTATTCAGTGGTCAGAATCAGTGACGACCTACTTGGGGACCAACTTAGACCTTCGTGGAGGTGCGGCGTCCTTATGGAAGAAACGCATCGGAGCACAAGGAGCGAAGCTATTTCCATGGAAATCCCGGCACATTTCTTTTTTTACAAGAAGCTACCTGTGCAACGCCATAGCATATCCAGCCATCCTCTATTCTGCGCAAGTGATGCCCTTCTCTACTACCATGGCAGACAAAGTTCAGCGTTCCTGGGCTGTTTTTATATGGAAATCATCCATGGAACGAATGCGACGTCAAAACCTATTTCTAAGTCTTGCAAAAGGAGGCTTAGGTCTCATCAATGTCGGCCTAAAGCTCGTCATTCATCGTTTCCTCTTCTTCCGAGATCAGCAGGACCCCTTCATACTGTCTGCATTTCACCACCTCGGTGCGTCGCAACTTTTGGCATGGCAAGTCACCACTGCTAAACCTACACCTTTTTCTCGAGTGATTTTCTTTTACAAAGAGATCGCCCAGTCAATCCGCCTGCTGCAAAACACTTTTTCGTGGGACTTTCTTCTGAAAAGCAACCGTAAGCAACTGTATTGGGCTACAGTCTCCGCGCTGATTCCTCCTCCCCTTTACAGACCCTTGAAAAACCAGCCAACCGACAATGACGTATTTAATCGTCTAAAACGTTTGCCCGTCGCCACATCATCGAAAGACTTCTTTTTCAAGTTCCACACGGAAGTGCTTCCCGTCAAAGTGTGGCAGCAGGCCAAGGGTTTCTTCGTGCCATGGTCACACAATTGTGATTTATGTGGTAAAGAAGAAACACTCGAGCATGTGTTTATTTTTTGTTCCAATGCAGAAATATTTTGGACCGAACTACAGTCTTTCTTTGATCTGGACTTGCAGATTAGTTGGTGTACTTTGAAATTCCTACGGCGGCACGACCAAAGGACGCTGACTGACCTGACTGAGATAATCATGGTTTTAGGCCTACATGCGCTGTGGCGGTCAAGAGTAGACATGACAGAGTGCACACTGAACCCTAAACCTGCGTGGCGACACTTTGTTAGCAAATTGGAGTGGACTATTAGAATTTTAGAACCAGTGGAATTAGAAAAAGATCTGAGAGACACTCTGGTGAAAGGTCAGAAGGTAGCACTAAATTTTCATGCCTCAGGAAGACTATCCGTCGCATTCGCACGTGCCTCACTCTGATACACTTTTAACATCTTTGAGTGTAATACACATCCAGAGCCGAGTTTACTACACTCCTTAACAATGTTGTAACCTTTAACTGATTTACTTTGCACCTGGGTCATTTAATGCAATGTCTGACTTATGTAACGTTCTTTTTCTGCTCTAACATGGGTATGTACCTCATTTCCCTCATTCTTGCTACTTATGCTTTTAACCTGTAAATAAACAACTGCTTAAAACAAAAACAAAAAAAATAAAAGGTGGCGTAGCATAGCGGTTAAGGTGTCCGATTTGTACGCATGTGGTCGCGGGATCGATGCGCGGTGGTGCTGCTTTTTTTTTATCTCGAACATTTTGTTTTATCGACGCATTTGGCGATATTTATGAGTGCGTATAGCTTTACTCTTATATAAATGCTGCCCTTGTTGATGAAATTCCCTTGGCAGTGGCAGTCAGACGTCATCTGATGGACCATCAGATGACGTCTGATGGTCCATCACGTTCCACCAAGGCTGCTGACTGGCAGTCAGTGTCCCAAATTACGTAGCTTGATGGAATTTTCAATAGGGAAGCTTAATTTCAGGGCTTTTTTTCACATTTGCAGCACGATTTCTATACAAAGTTGCAGTAACCTACCGAGTCCTACTTCCTTGACCACTAAGCTGACAGAGCGGTCGAAGCTACATGCTCACCGGAATGCAAGGCGCAAAAACAACAGACACAAGGAAGAAGACACACACACACTGGCACGTGTGTTTGACTTCTTTCATGTGTACACTGTTTTTGCGCTTTACACCATGTTTCATAACGTTCACCAACTAGCCCAACTACAAGTTCTTCTACAGCTTGCCAAAAACATTAGGTGGTACATTTTTACCCAACCTCAATCTTTGCACACGAGTACGCAGAAAGGGTTTAATCACGTCGAACTGACGCTTGACTGGCCCGAGCATGCAGCTTCCGATTCCTCAAGCAATGTAGGGGGCGAATATGGTCTTGCACCCGTCTTGTTTCTAGAAGCATGATCAGCCTGTTTTGAAGAAGCAGATTATTATGTCCAAAGTAACCAAGGCACAAGAAAGACTAAACACACCCACTAGTGGTCACCCTTGCATGTCTATTTTCTAGAGGTGTTACATGTGCAGTGACACAGCATCATTCACAGTATTTGTAATTTTCAGATTCCGCAGCATCACATGCAATGTTCCTGGAAGTGCACATGATGCTTCAGTTATAAGTACGGTTCCGCGTTTTCGTTTTTTTATTTTTTCAAAATTCGGCGTACTTTTATCGGTGTTTATTTTAAAATACAATTTTCGGTTTTTTTCGGCGGATATCTATGCCCACAAAAGTTAATCGGCTTTTTTCGGTGAATATAAAGTAAAAACCAACGGACACCGGATCAGATGATCCTTGTACGTAGCTCTGATATTTGTGATCACTCAAAGAATAACGGCACAGATACATTGAAAAAGAAATGGACACTTCATTTGGCAAATGTGTGCAACTGTAAAAGAAACAAGAAAAAAAACCCATAGAAGTACAAACAAGTCAGTATGAAGCCTATGCCCAATAAACATGGAACTTCACTCTTCTGTACATCAGGATTACGCGATCTCATTATAGTACACACACATGTACTTGCCAAGGTTCTTCCTCTTAATCCGCACTCTTTCTTTTCTGTTAATATGACCCTGAGCTTCGAGAATGCCCTCTCAACGCTAACACCGGACACTGACAGGCTAAGGAGATGAAGCGCTGCCTTAGCCAACATCGGCCAATCAACCAATCGTGACCGTCGAAAAAGGCACGGTGCGACGTTTTAAAGCACAACACAACATGCAGAGCTTGCACAAGTCAGTCTTCCTTACAACGAGTTTGAAAGCATGCTCGTACATGGCGAAGTCATGGGGTATTTCGGACATCACGTTCCAATCAATGTTGCGCACATTAAACCAAAACGCCTTGATGACATCCGTGTATCCCATACTTTCGGACACGTTTCGATAGACACTGTCGTTCCACTTTTTTGCCACGGCTCTGTTGTTCGACTGGAAGGTCAAAGTGACCTTTTCCGGTTAAAACTGAATTTTAGAAAATGAACTCGACGAACTTTTATCGGTTTAAATCGGAGATGCCAAACATAAAAACTTACCTTTTTCGGTTAAAACCGAATTTCCAAAAATGAATTCGGCGTACTTTTATCGGTTTTTATCGGTTTAAACCGAAAACTCCAAACCCTAGTTATAAGGCTGTCCACGGTGTACCTTAGGAGCGAAGAACTTCTGCCTAGGGAGGAAAGAATATTTCGTGGACGTCCAGTTTCATTCATGCTGCTCGGTGACCCTGCCTATTCCCGGCTGCCATGGATTTTGAAGGGCTATACCTGGTCAAGCGAACGAAGGAGGGACAAGGGAACAAACAATGGACAGACACAAACAGGACAACAGACAACACGTGCAACTAAACTTACCAAAGAAGAAGAATCGTTCAATGTGTACCACAGTGCTGGACGAAACGTAGTGGAACATGCTTTTCGAAGGCTCAAGGCACGGTGGCGCGTAACACTGAAGCGGGCGGACATTAACTACAAGTTTATGCCCACCGTTATTGCAGCGGCATGCATCCTGCACAACTTCTGTGAACAGAAATCTGAAGGTGTTAGGGATGCGTGGATTGCGGCTTTCAGAGATTGTGAGCAGTACCTTTATCAGCAGCCCGCCAGTAGTCCTCGCGAAGCTAATGCTGTTTGTGAAGTGCGAGACTTCTTGAGAGACTATTTGGCACAAGAGTTTCCATTGCGTTCTGCTTCCTGGTAAAGGACGCTTGTGAGCTCAAGTATATTTCAAATTCTGAATACGTGACTGGCACTCATTGTGTTGGTATCCAATTAAAAATATTTTATTAAACATTTTTTGCACTGTTACAGGTAATAGTTCACAAAATACGATGTATATTTTCTTTTTTATCACAGGAGGGCAACTCTGCCAAGAATACTTATCACAGAAGGACAACTCTGCCAAGAATACTTATCATAGAAGGGCAACTCTGCCAAGAATACTTATCATAGAAGGGCAACTCTGCCAAGAATACTTATCAGACAAGGGCAACTCTGCCAAGAATACTTATCACAAAAGGGCAACTCTCCCGAGTGTTCGAATGACTTATGACACTGTAAAGGCACAGGTAACGTGAAAATGTACTATAAATGATGAAAGCAATAAAATTCAGCACTTGCGATTCTAAACACAGACCTCTCTGTGGGCTAGTTGAGGGAAACTCTGCCAAGAACACTTTCTATCACAGATGGGCAACCCTGCCAAGATACTTTTTACCACAGAAGGGCAACTCTCCAAAGAACAAGTTTAGTAATGAAAAAATTGTAAGGGTGCAGGCGAGCTGGTGGAAGTTTAACAAACATCAGTTAGTAAACCACTGATGTTTGTTAAAATGACTTATATGAAACTGTAAAGGCACACAGGTAAGGTAAAATTGTACGGTAAATGCTGAAAACAATCAAATTCAGCACTTCCGTTTCTAAACATAGACCTTTCTGTGGGCTAGTTGAGGAAAACTCTGCCAAGAACACTTTCTATCACAGATGGGCAACCCTGCCAAGATACTTTTTACCACAGAAAGGCAACTCTCCAAAAAACAAGTTTAGTAAACCACTGATGTTTGTTAAAATGACTTATATGAAACTGTAAAGGCAGGGGTAAGGTAAAATTGTAAAGTAAATGATGAAAGCAATAAAATTCAGCACTTGCATTTGAAAACACAGACCTCTCAATACACTAAATATTAAGCGAGGCTAGTTGGGTTATCATACTAAATATATAAAGCGCAAGAGATAGACGAGGACATGAAGGCAGGACAGAACTTCTCTTGCTTTTTTTATTGAGACGCCACTTGTGAGTACAGCACTGTCCTGTCTTCTTTGTTTCCTCGTCTGCCACTTGCGATTTATATATTTAGTATTTTGGATACACTGCGCAAGTAAAACAGCTTGTTCGCCCGTAGGAGGAGCCGCACTAACCTTTTCATGCCCATAACTTTACATGGAACCGGAGACTTACAAACCCCAACATAGTTTTAGAATACACAAAACAGAAATCGTGTTCCTTTGTTTCTTCCTTCCTTTGTGTCAATGCATTTCGTTAAAAAAGAAAACGACGCTCGAGTCAGCGGGAGATTGGTGGCCAAGTCTGTTATTGTACCACAGATCCGAGCAAGTATAGTAAAGGCACGTGCTACAAAACCCAGGGATCTTGAGTTTAATACCCACTCCTGCCTGTTTCGATCTGGACAAGAAGAGTACTGGCGTGCGGTAGTATATGACTATTGTGTGATGCATGTTAAAGGCCCAGGCTAGAAGTCGTACTGCACCGGCAAAAGTTCTCATCTACACCGTGTAACACTATTGCAAAGAGTTAACGAGGCTTGCAAGTTACCATACAAATTTTCCAGAAATATGTGGCTATCCCCTGTTGCAGATTAAGAAAAGTATGACAAGTGCCTCCAGCGAAATCCTCCACTCTTTCAACTTTAACAGAATAAATGCTGGAAAGGAGGCAAGTGTGTTCACTCTCTTGCCTGCTCTCCAGCATTTACTCTGCTAAAGTGAAAAGAGTGGAGGACTTCGCTGGAGGCACTTGTCTTGCTTTTCCTAACCCACAACAGGGTATGGCCACACATTAGTGGGACATTTGTGCAGTAACTTGCAAGCCTCGTTAAAGCAGTTTCTTCAAAGGGTGAATGATCTATTTGACTTGCACCATTGTACTACCAGCTAGTTCTAAATAAAATATGAAAGTACACAAAAGTAAAAGATATCAACACCAGATCAAACCGTTCCCCCTGTCGAGGGATACTTAGGCATCTCGCTGCGGCTGACTTGGTTGCAAAAAATCGGCCTGACCTGAGGAAGCATTGGCCTGACCCTGGGACACGAAGTTAGCTTGACGGGGGGCTATATTTACCTGACCGGGGGAGGAAAAGCTTGCCGAGAAGGCAGGTTGCAGTTGAGGAAAATGAAAGAAACTCCCCTGAGTTAGCAGTTGTGACATCATTGCCTGTCTGCCTTGCAGGAACGAGGTGCTAATACCTGTCATTATTTCTTGAATGTTCGTTTTTTCAATCTCTAACAGCTCCTTTTGCTGCTCAAATAGTAGCTCCGAGTTTTCTTTAAGTAGTTCAGCGCTACGCCTCTGCTGCTCGGCTAGAAGCTCTACGAGATCGGTATTTTTGCCACGTCTTGACCGCTTTGGCTGTGGCCCAGAGGAGCTGGCATCAGTTGCGGCAAAGAAACACAGAACAAAGTGTGAAAACAATCAATATTATAAAACTCGGATCTCACTAAGCCTTTTAAAATAGTTAACATTTTCAATCTGTAGGGATTCCCTTGCTGCTACCCGTCTTGGAGAATGATAAAGCACACCGGTTCAGCAACATATAGTAATTTATTTCGTTACTGCCCGCGACGCGATCCCAAGAACCCCCGCGCTACGCTGCGACTGCCTTTTATCAGCGGCGGAGCACCGCTCACGTGGCTAATTGCACTTGGCAACATCACGGTGGAATTGACGGAGGACGATTTGGCATGCAAGCCACTTGGTCCAAGGCTTCGGATCCCCAGTTGCGCACACATTTTAACTTGCAGCCATAAGGGAAGCGTAGATCACGAGAACTTTCCTATAGATACTCATGGGACAAAAATATTAGCTAACACGATGAGGTGCCTGGTAAAGAGTCTTGTTCGTCGTCTCCCAGCTCAATCTCCTCTGCAACTGGAGAAGAAAAAATGATATTAATGTGATTGTGCTCAACTTTTGCACTCTTGGTGGTTCGAGGAACAAGAAATTCGTTTATTTTTGTAGTTGCATAAAAATATATTTCCCGCAATTAATAAACTGAAAATGGTCACATGCCAGGCAGTCTCCAAGGGACATAAATTTTGGTACTGAGTTTCTCACCTACTGCGACGCCATCCCAGTCCTCGTCTGCCTCGCTGTCCACACCATACTCTCTTGCCTGGGTCATCGGGCGGTGAGCAAGCAGGGCGCTCATCTCTTCACACCACGGCCAGGCTGATGACGCCGCTCCACTTTTGTTTTGTGCGTCTCTTTCCTGATACACACAAAAATTCCATACTTAGGCACACAATAAAAGAAAGTGCTACTTCTTTAGATATGAAGGGACAGTATTGCACAGTCTCATAAGTCCATAAATGAACTGGGCTTCTCGAGCTGTGACGATAGAGGGGTCCGTACGCCCTAGCCGCAATCGCGAACCCCTCGCGAACGCAGTTATTAGACTCTGTGCAGTTTCACACGCATTTCATGATGAAAACGAGAAATCAGCTTTGCGGTACCTTTCTGCGACGATGTGGCTCTCCTCAGCAACTACGAATGACTTAATGAAGAACGGTTAATTCTAAAGAAAAATGCTCAAAACCCACCTTATTGTACTTTCCTTTGAGGTTCTTCCAGTGGGTTCGAAGTTGCTGCCACGTCCAGTGGAACCCCAGCCGCTCCATTGCCTCCTCAACTCTCCGAAAGACGGCTTGATTTCGCTGTCGCCGCGAGTCAAGTAGCTCCGCGACATTTAGCTCGCTTAGAATAGCGAGAAAAGTACGTCTTGCTTCGCGTGAGAACACGACGCGGGAAGACGCCACACCGCTCTCGGCCGCCGCCATGTTCTACGTTAATCCTGCAGCAAACGGAGGTCCCGCAGGGAGCGCCTTCCCATAATCCTCTACGTTCCAAAATGCGATGCGTTCTGAATGCACATGGACTGAATGCACGCACATTCCCCGTCTCGATCCATGGTGGTGCTCATTTGAACGATTGACGGATTACCGGATGGCCCTTGGCGTCTACCGTGCCACTTGATTTCTGTAATTTTATCTTTCGTTTCATTCGTCGTTTCTCACGTAAACTGTGACAAAACCGAGTGCGACTGCAACTTGACCGCTTACCAGCTTTCAAGACAGCGGCGTTTACGATCGCCGCAATGGCTGAATTATGTTAAATTGAGCGACGGACTTACTGTTTCGAAATGCAACGGGAGGGATCCAGACACAACCGCGGTATGTAATACTGCAGAAAGAGGCAGGTTGAGAGATTGTTGCTGCTTTTATACAGATATCGGCCTATCGCAGGTGCCCGCGCAGTACCCAGTACTATACGCTTTCGGAGCGCAGTCAATAGGTCATTACGTCTATGAAACGTTGCGTCCATGTTATAATGCCGATAACTGTGCGGTTTTTGCAAACACCCCCTGTTCGCCTCCGTAGAAGCATCTATATTTGTTTACACCGGAGCTGTTAATGGGTTGCTTTCCCAGTAGCGTGTCCGTCAGCAAAAAAATAAGGACACTAAACTCCGGACAGCTACCGCCATCTCTCAGAAATAGCGAAAAGCAGACGACCGGTTTGCCGGTTGTCTGATTACCGCCGTCGCTTATATATAATGGCAATGTTTCCAGACTTTTGACTCTGCCTTGCCGACTTGCAGCCAGCCATTACTTCATTCTCACTTAATACAGCTTCTCAGTTCTTCCTTCTTCACCAAAGTGAAAAAGCAGAACGCCTTTTTTTTAAGTACCATTTTTTTTGTGTGTCAGACGGATATTAGTAATAAAATGCTCGTTTCTATTCATCGTACTTTCATTCAAAAGATTGTTGCGAGACCATCGAGATATTATACTAATTCTATGTGCGAGATCATATTTAGTTTCGTTTTGGGTGCCCTGGCGCAAGGCATCTGATGTCATAGCAACCCGTCGTAGTGTCTCGTACCTACTCGTACCGATCGTGTCGTCGTGAAGGCTCTTCTACAAGGACTTCTAGCAAACCACTACCGTGTTCCGGGTACCACATTTCTAGAGCCATTGAGTGCTCGCCCGGGTGATACCGTGACCGCGGGGCGCGGGC